GTAATTTCCAATAGACTTGTCCAAGTCTATGTAATTTTTTTTTTTTTTTTTTTTTTTTATAAAGAGAAAAAGAAAGAGTTACTTGATTGAGAAGGTTTCTTTGCGTTTTTAATAAAGCAGGAAAGATAGGGCTTTGATACCTGTCATCATGGTGGCAGCACGAGTATCCTGCAACTTATCCAGATCTTGCAACCCAGCTCTAGTTTTGGGACCAGGAATAACAGATGTGACGATTTTGGGTCCTGACGGCTCTCCCTCGACAAGGTTCTGTTGATCCTTGTGCTGTCGGCCAAGGAAACCTTCGCTTGAGCTGATAGAGGCAAAAGGACGAACCGACAAAAATGGCCCGAATCGTCGGTTGGGATGTCCAAGGCGATTGTAACCATGGCAAGCGGAGATTAAAGTTCTCTGAAGTGGAGTACGCAACGTTGCCATAATGATAATCCTATAATGTATGTATAGATCAATAGAGCTTCCAAGTGAAAAAGAAAAAGAAAAAGAAAAAGAAAATATAAAAGAAGAATGAGAATGAGGATGAGAAGAAAGAGAATGAAAGAATGAGGATGAATGACGAATGAATAAGACAAAAAAAAAAAAAAAAAAGGGAGAAACGAGATTGGTATGAGAATAATGCACTTGTGGGACATTTAGAACCATTTTTTATGCCTTAAGCAATCACACGGGCATAAATGCCCGTCAAATCTATATCTACCTTGATGCATGGTCCACCGGGCCCCGGCCCCGGGTCTATTTAAAAATGTAACTTTAGTGCCAAAGACCCCAAGCCATCAGTAGGGATTATACCGAAATATGAACATCCTTAGTAGAAGTATTACAGCAAGAGTTCTATTTGCTCAAAGAAATTTCACAGCATTCGTCACAAGGCCATTAAAGGCGCGCTCCTGAAAATCATACCTTTTTCCCACGCTCTCAACAACACCATTAGGACGCGCCTACATTTCGTTCCTTATATGAATAGATTGTGGGCACTATCATTACTCTCAGCATAATAAGGGAGCCGACCTCAGCAAGAACAATGCCAAGCATCAATGTCCTCAGACAGTCCAAGGTTCAGAGTCCATGTAGACTTCTTCCGGCGTTCTCCCCTTTATGATGTTCGTCTTCAATGTGAGTTCCACTAGTACCTCTTTCTCCAAACCAACTTCATTCCCGGCACGACATCGTATCAACCGACGCCACATAAGCACTACAGCGCCACCAAAAGAGATTCAACCAAAAAGAAGCCCTTGTTGCTGCTACAGCATCAGTAGTAGCAATTTAGCTTTCGAGCAATGATTTTTATAAGAGAATGCTGCAACAACACGTGAAAACATCTGCGACTCTGTCATCCCACGTAGTTGAGACGCTACAGTAGAAGCCGAGGATCCGTGCAGGTATAACTCAAGCGCAAGAGACATGCTGGCTATAGTCCTAGAACGGTTTGTCACCCTCCGCTATTGTTTCAAGAAATGACGACTACACAAGGCATTTTTCGAAAAAGTACCAAATCTTCAGAGGCCGTGCCTTCAATTGAGCAATCGTTTGGTAGAGCAAGGATAGAAAATATATAAATGAAATGTATTAATTTTTATTAATTATACTAATTTCCCATCTGTTTATTTGTTACCAATCCATCCCTGACCCATAATACCCTTGTCTTTTTTTTTTTTTTTTTTTTTTTTTTTTTTTCCCTATTCTTGTCTTATTTCTATTACTTTAAATCAAGCTCGACTCCTTTCCTATGCCATTTTTGATCTCAAGCAAGATTTTGGTCTTCCAATTGTCTAGCTTTGTCAACTGATCAAACTCCACAACACTTGCTGTAAATTGATTGACATCACTATTATCCACAGCTGTCAGAATACTCTAACAGGACCATATCCAAAGGTTTATAGTTAGGATGCGTTGAATATTGGTGTCATCCAAATCGTTGAAAACGAAAACAAAAGATAAAAAATAAAAAAAAAAAAAAAAGCGAGGCATTAATCTCAAATTTAACGTCGTATCAAATTTCTTTCGCACCTGTAAGAATTGACATTCTCTAGTTGATGAGAAGGTGACATCCATGTCGCAGTAGCGCTCAACCGCATTATGTGCGGATACAGAGTCCTAATAGGAAATGAGGAAGTGAAGTAGAAATGTTAAAAAAGTATAATAAAAATAAAAGTAAAAATAAAAATAAAATAAAATTAAAATAAAAGTAAAAATAAAATTGAAATAAAAGTAAAAATAAAATTAAAATAAATGTAAAAATAAAATAGAATAAAATAAAATTAAATAAATTAAATAAAACTCACGCCAGTAGCAATATGACAGAGTCCTGCCTTAAGAAAGTATTCCTTCAAAGACCACTTCATGAGTTGGTTATCCAGGCTTGCACTAGCAACTCCCTCAAACTTCTCAATTGCCTTCTCGTATTGTCCTAATTGAGCAGCAAATGTAGCCACCTTGAGCATGCACTTGTGTGACAAACTAAATAAATCAAAGAAAATAGAGAGTTGAGTAATATATTCCCTTTTAAGAAGAAGAATAGCAGTTTGATTGCAGAAGAAGTTTAGTTGAACTTACGCTGTCGATGATTCTCCTGCATACCAGTCTGCTGCAGTCTCATATGCACGCATGGCCTGTTCAAGGTCAATGAGCTCAGACTCATAAATGCTGCCAATATCTTCCTGATGCTTGGCCGCTGATTGGAAACGGCCTCTTTCTGTCAAGATTAGAATAGCCTGTTCCAAAGACATGATGGCATCTAAAATATTAACACACACATATATATAATTTCTAATTTAAACATCTTGCACTTGCACTTTTGAATAAAAAAATATATTTTTTAATCTTTTCTTTCCGATCGGTATGTGTCTTTGGCATGCACATAACCTTGCATTCATGTGCAAGTTTGCTTTTTTTTTTTTTTTTTTTTTTTTTTTTTTTTTACCTTGTGGACTCGACTTCTTGTATGACTTGGAAGCATTGATAAACGTATTGGCGGCTTCATCCTTCTCACCCATCTTGAGTTGCATCTCGGCTGCCTTGCAAAAAGTGTCGCCAGATTCTTTCCCTATATATCGTTAAGCAATTCCGGACAGTATTCAACGAGAATTACAATATAACAATAACAACAAAGAAAAAAAAAAAAAAAAAAAAAAAAAAGAAAAAGAAAGAGAAAACACCAGTGTAAGTAACATTCTTGATTTGTGATGTAAAGGCTGTGGTCCTTCTTTCTTGCAATTTCATCCCCCTTTTTTTTTTTTTTTTTTTTTTTTTGTTGTTGGGTGAACAATTGGAGAGTAAGTAAAAGTCCTGTTTTGTGTGCTTGTGAACTCTTCAAGAATTCTGATCATTGGTGGCAGGAGAGAGAGCTTCTTACATCGTTTGGCCATCTTGTAGATATTGCCTGCTTTGGTATAGAGCTCTGCTGCCTCTTCATACTTTGATGTTGAGCTGAAAAACCATGAAGAAGATGTGGCCTTCTTGTCGGCCTTTGCAACCAATTCTTGCGCCTCTCGCTCAGACATGGTTGTCTATTATATATTTCTAATGTTGATTTCGATTTGTATTTTGTTGATCGTTTCCTTTTTTATTATAATGTTATGAATCAGTAGTAACTGAAATGGAGGAAACTTGATTAAAATGTAATATGAAAAACAAAAGATGAGCACAGGTCATACATGGGCGGAAGTAGACATGCGAATGAGACATGAGCGTCACAACTGCAACTGCACGAGAACGTCACTTTGAAAAAAAATTCTTTATTCAACAACTGCTTCCTCCGCCTTCGTCCTTTTTTCTTCTTTATATAATGCATCATATCTCTGCCAGTGAGGAAATACACTATTAACAAATATATATAAATATAAATAAAAAGAGATAAAAATTGATAAAAGTCTAAATGATAAAAAGACAGGCGTAGCATATTGAGCATGTCTTTTGAAAATGCTCAAAGAAAGCAATGGGTGTGAGTATGTGTATATACGTGTATGCGTGTATGCGTGTGCGTGTGTGCGTGTAAAAGAAAGCAAACGCGTGTTGAGAGCGAGAAGAGTTATGAGAGGAAAGCTAATACTGAGATTGATAGTAAAAAGAAAAAATAAAAGTAAAAAAAGATGAATATCCTCGAGGCAACTACTTGCGACCTCCTCTCACGCTGTTTCCAAGTCCTTTGTTAAATTGATTACGTCCTCCGCGAGTATTGCCACGAGCGCCCATAGTACGCTGTTGCTGCTGCTTTCCTGGTCCTTGCTCCTTACTTGCGTTAGTTCCTATTTGCAATAGCAATAGTTATTTTTATTATTACTCGTAAATTGATAATGATAATGATAATGACAATGACAATGGCAATGGCAATGGCAATGATAATGACAATGACAATGGCAATGGCAATGGCAATGATATTGACAATGAACTGACTTGGCTTACCCTTCTTTGAGCGTTCTCCTTGCTGAGGTGTCTTGGTCTCCAACAGTTTCTCATTGCTCTCCACGAATCCAGCAGCTTTCTCTGCAAAGGCAAGAGCCAAAGTCTGCAATCGAGTCAATTGTAAGTGATGCAAGACCACAATATTGGTAACTTGATCAATGCTCGCTGAGAGTTCCTCAATCCACACCATCTTGGCGACAATCGATGTGGTAGTTCTCAATGAAAGGTCAAACATTTTGGCCAAAGACTCGAGACTGATGGATGAATAATAGTTGGCGTTACTGAATAAATACGTACGAAGGCCTTCCTCCTGAATTTTATGACCGAGCATCTCCTTGATCTTTCTACTCTCAGGTATCAAGTCCCAAATTTTGATGGCGCTAATCCACTCGACTGACTTTTGCCATTCCGCATTGGCAAGTGCTTTGGAGGCAGCCATGATGTGATCACGAGTATTCTCTGGAGGACCTGAAAAGACTTGGCGAGAGTTGTAGTCAAGCATGCGGCGGAAGGGTTTCGAGATCATCTTCTTGCGGTTCTCAGGGTTGATCGCTGTTGAAGCAATGTTGGGGATTTCGAGGAGCATAGAGCATGTCAGGTAAACACATTCCAAGAGTTCGAGGTTAATATGCATGTGGAAGGGGAACTGGCGTTGGCGCTCAATCTTCTCTTGATCCGGGCTAGCGGTACTATGACGTTGGAGGGAAAGACCTTGGGCTAGTAACTCCTTGACACGGCCCGTACCAGAAATATCTTGCAGACAACTGTGAGCCTCTTTGATCATGCCAGCACGGAATGCACACATACCCAACTGAACCATGGCGCGGTTATGAAGGATCTGGGTGATGATATCGGCCAGATGGATAGTGTCCTGCAGATGTGACATCAGGAACATGTCGCGAGCGACGAAGAAGCGGTTTTCAAGTGCATGGTGATAAATGTGGCAAAGCATCGCGCGGGTCCTTTGTAGTGAGCTGCCATTCTTGTAAAGATCTACACAGAGATCATGAACCAAGCTGGTAGCGTCTTCAGAAGGCTTGACAATGTCAGCAGGCAAAAGCGAAGCAATAGCGTTCTCAACAGCAACAACAACATTGTTGGGCTAAGTTTTACAATTGAAAAGCAAGTTCGATAAGCAATAATTGCATGGAAGGAAATATGAGATAGAGAGAAGAGAGAGAGAAAGGGAGAGAGATTCGTTAAGCTCACCTTAAAGTACACGTGTTCTAGACGTCTCATAGTAGTGCGACAGATTGCATCCGTAGCGTCAAGACGATTGAAGTATGCGAGGGACCGAACAATGACAGCATAGAGGCTGACCTCGTCTTTGAGACGATCCACATAGTCAGTTGTGTGAGGATCGATATTCTGGAGCGACTTTGTGAACTCCTCATCCAGACGGTCAATAAAGGCAACAATAGAGCCTTGAATGAAAACAGCCTCACCATTTTGAGGCAAGCGGTCTTTGTCGTTATCATCCTCTTCTGGCACATTTTCTTTGACAATGTAGTCATTGTTGGATTCCAGAATGGCCAAAAGATTATTCAGATATTTCTCAGCACTGTTGACGATAGTAAGATGTGTCCAGGAAAATAAACGAGTTTGAGTATCATATTGTGTTTGGGAACTATAGATAATGATAAGACTGACTTTTTTTTTTTTTTTTTTTTTTTTATGACTTACTTCTTCCAGAGAGAAATGTTCATATATCCTGAAAGACCAACTGCAAAGTCAAACTGCGTTGAAATCAGGTTTAATAGGACGCGAATCTTTTGGTAAGGCGTGTTGGCAACCACAAGAAGTCTCTCCAGGATTCGGACTTGCTCTTCACGGTTTGTGTTCTTCTTTCCACGTGCATCTACAACTTCACGCAACTTCTTGAACAAGTTCTCCTGATTAAATTCGACTGTCTTTCCGCCTGCTCCCACAGGGGTAAAACCATCGTCGACCTCCTCACCCTCTTCCTCCTCCAAGTCAGAGTCAACAACTTTCTTTGGTTTCTTGATCTTTGGTTTAATCTCAATAGCCTCTTCCTCTTCAGCATCGTAGTTCTCTGGATCTTTTTCGTACTCCTGGATGTCCTTCTCGTACAGGCGATTGTTCTTCTTGATCTTTTGTTTCATCGAGTTGAGAGCTTTGGCATTGGAGGCATTCATCTTCTTGGCTGCCGACTTTTCCTTATCCAACGTGCTCTGAACCGTCTTCTCCAATTCGGCCACAGCCTTGATATAAAATTTAGGGACACCCGTCTGTGCAATAATGCCTACAGCCTTTTGCAAAGCCTTATTGGCACGATCGAACTCTATCAAGGCATCGTTGTAAAATTAATTAGATCAACAGTTGAGTTAGCTGACAATTACTTAATTCAATAGGATCGATGTCCGAGCCTTCCTCTCATATAGTGGGCCTGCGTGTCCTCAAGGTTTCTTCTCCTGGCGTAAAAAGATCAATATCACTACAACTAAAGATAATTAATGCCCAACACTGCCTGATAATAATCCTTAATGGCATTTTATCCACTCCCTTCATTGTTTACAGTCTTGGTAGTTGTAAATACGAGGCCTATTGTCTTTTTTTTTTTTTTTTTTTTTTTTTTTTTTCATTGGTCTTCTGTCCAAGCTATTCTTATGCTTTTACATCAACCTTACCATTTCTAATGGCTCAATCCTTTTAATATCTCATTTAATCCTTACCAGTCTGAACAGAGACCCAGTCGTTGATCTTTTGGCCATTGTTCATTGCAGTCACTGCTTGTTCGATCTCCTCGAATCGCTTATCTTTTGCAGAACGGACTACGCGAACTGTGTCATCCTCACTGTCAGAGTCCGAGAGAGATCCCTCAAAAAAACGACCACGGCCAATTTTTTTGCCTTGCTGATCGTCTGAGTCGGATTCAGATTCAGAAGCGTCTGAATCAGACTGGTCTTCAGATTCAGAGTTGGTCAGCTCATCAGAGTAATCGGACTCTGTGTCGTCAGAGTCGCTCTCTCCAGCACGAAAAAAGCGGGACATTGTGAGCGGTGCCCTGTGGTGTAAATGACAAGTAGTGACGCGGAGGAAGTTTTTATATGTATAATTGGATAATATGCTGAGAATGCAAAGAGAAAGGGATCCTTTTCCTTATATGTTGGTTCCTAATTGTCTCTGTTAATGTCCCTGCTCAGAGTTGGCTTGCGATCAAAGAGACCGTTAAATGGACATTTGATCCAAGTAAAAAAAAAAAAAAAAAGAAAACTCACTTCCACACATTAATCACGCGTAAGTGGCTTGTGCACACTACTGAATGGTTTTTATTTGTATATATGAATATGAATATGAATATGGATATGATGGGAGTAGAATGATAATGGTCTTTAAAATGTATATTTATACCAACAGCTTACTACATTATTTTACGCAAGAACCATCATGGTAGAGAGCGCTACAGCCAAAAGCAATGGTAAAGCTGGGAGAACAGTCTTAACAGCGGCGTTTTTGACTGAGGAGAATTCACATGTGGCACAGATGGGTGCTGAAAAAATGAAGACAGGTGAAGAAATACACGTTAAATAAGCTATCTGGTAACTAGAGTAAAATAAATGAAGTATAAAATAAATAGAGATAATAATAGTAATAATAAAAAGGTAACTTACGATTCATATCCCTACCAGGAGTGTATGGAGAAGGGATGTAGAGACCAAATCGGAGACCTGCAAATGTGCTTAGGTAGCCTCCTTGGGGCAGAACTCCGTTGCGGCCAACAGCGCCATCGAATATCCGCAGAGTGTACATTCCTGTTCGAATCGGATTAGTAAGGTTCTTTTGGTTGATTGCAGTCCATGTGTAGTTTTTGAGGTTGCCTGGGATGGCTGCACCGATGGTGACAATGTTGGTGGGATTCTCGGATGTAAAAGCCTCAAGTGTCAGATTGGCTGGAGGCAGCAGTAAAAATTTATCATAATCCCATGCAAACTGGATGTCAGTTATACCAATTGGGAACAGTGGCGGGTTTGCCATGTTGGCTTTTGGTTGTATCATGGTGAGAGAGGAAACTGGGTCGCTAGGAGTACGGGAAGGTAATGCAGATGGCGCAGGGCCTGTTGCGGTTCCTGTTGCAGTTCCAATAGGTGCTCCTGAAGCAGTTCCTGTAGCGGTATTTGTAGCGGGTGGACCTCCTGTTCCAGTTGGGGCAGGACCAGTAGCAGTGTTGGAAGGAGGTGCTGGGGAAGAACCTAAATATCATGTAAAATATAAATCGTAAGCCAGAGAAGAAGGATAGCGGTGTTCACCTTTCAGGAACAGTCAAGATTTTATGCATCAACTCCTTTTTTGTGTGATTTGGATGAAATGAAATAAGAAGAAACATCGGGATAACACAATATGCGACTGAAAAATAAAGAGAGAAAAAGAGAGTGACAAGGAAGAAAAAAAAAAAAAGAAAAAAAAAAAAAAAAAAAAAGAAGAATGCTTGTACCTTGTCCCTGCACAAAGACATTCGACAGACACAGTAGAGCCAGCAATGCAAAGACAGTTGTACGTTGCAAAACTAGTGCAATATTATTGTTGGAGTATACTTGCGCCATCATGATGGCAGAAGGATAAATGTGGAATTAAAAGAGTTGGATGTGGATGTGGATGTGGATGTTTATGAAAAGGAAGATGTAATGAAGTAGTAGATGGGAGGATCCTAGGAACTTTGTTCAGATCAAATGAGCGATAGTGATAGTCAGAGGATATTAAGAGAATCAAAATAAAGCAAAGCGATAAGAAGGCAAAGACAAAAAAGCAAATCCAACAGAAAAAATAGAAAAATGACAGGGACGCCAAAAAGGCGAGGTTGGAAAGAAAGGGGATGGGCAATAGATTGGAAGTGTTGGAAGTATTGGAAGTATTGGGACAAGGAGAAAGGAGATTGTTTCGTTTACGACTTTTTCTTTTTCTTGGTGGTGTAATACAACAATACAAGAATAGCTCTGCCAAAAATAATTTTTTGAGGGTGGTTCTTAATTTTTTTCTTTGTGTGGTGTCTTATTTTTTGCCCTCAAAATCTTTCACGCCTATCCCCTAAAAATAAACTTCACACACAAACTCACCTTGAGGATGGTAACGGGGCATGAACGGAGTGAGAACACATTCACCTGTGCGATACATCTCTATACACAAATAGATGAACAGTTGATGAACAACATGTTCAGGTGTTCAGATAAGGCCCATGTTCTATCAAACGCCTGTTGCAAAAACAAAAAAAAAAGAAAGAAAAAAAAAGAAAAAAAAAAAAAAAACTCATCATGAAAACACATTAAGACAAAGTAACTGGAGTACTTTTTTGACATAATCTTTTTTTTCTTTATTTTATTTATTTACTTGAGAATTCCAATCTGTCACTGCGCTTTAACTGTCTTTCTTTTTAGTCTTTTTCTTTCTTCAAAGCCAGCACACATCCTTGGCCTGTCCAAGCCAGATAAATTTCTCGCGCAGGTGAAAAAAAAATAAAAAAAAATAAAAAATAATGCAACCGTAATGGGCTATGTGCATGGACGGATTGCTTTAAAGTAGGTAGGAGTGGGTTCACATCCCTTTTTTTTTGTTTTTTGTTTTACTTTTTTAAAAGATTGAAGATAAAGTAGGGGAGGACAAGAGGCAAACATATTGATCAGGCCTTGAGATGCGCAAGGAGTGAGCGACGAAGCACCTGTCTGAGCAGTGGGGACGTGCCAGACTGCTTGCCTGCATGCCGGCTCCTCTTGTGGCGGCGTGTCCTGCTGTTTGCAGTTGTAGTTTTTGTTTCGCATGCATTACACATAAACATGACATCCACAACATGTAAGTTGAGTGTAGATAATAAGAAAAGAGTAGCAGTTTTCATTAAACTTTTTTAAAGTTAATCTTGATGCTATTACAAATTTTATTACCTCAGAAGAGCTCGGATAGCCTCATCTGACAATTCCTGCACTGGAACTGCGACAGAAGCTGATTCAGCTACGCAAGTCGTCATGGCGTTCAGACAGTGAAGAATAAAGGACAGAGGAAACAGAAAACAAATAACAATAAAATAAAAAAAAAATAATAATATTGGGATAGATTATGGGGAAGGAAAAAAGAGAAGAGTAGGGTGATAAAGAGAGGAATGGCGTCGACCGTTTTTTACCCAAACAGACCACGACTCAGTGAAGTAGAGCAGCAGAACAGCGTTTAATTTTTTTTTTTCTTTTTTTTTTTTTCGTGAATGATCAAGTGGAGACTATTAAAAAAAAAAAAAAAAAAAAAAAAAGAAAGAAACTGGATGCGCAACCACAAAGGCGAGCGGCGGCTGTCAATGGGGAAACAGAAGGATGACGATGCGAAAGAGCGAAAAGGGAATAGGGAATAAAAAGGGATGGGGGAGCAAACAGGGAGACAAGATCGAACTCTTTGGAAGCAAGCTTAAAAAAAACTAGAGAGACCATGTGGTGTGCACATGATCCCTCTCACTGCACGTGCATTAATATGATTTCACAAGTCGACATTAGAAAAGCATTCATCCATTTCGAAATGCACAAATCAATTCCATTGTCCTCATCTCATTTCGTTAAAGAGAATAAACTATTGCCTACACTATCTCAACCTCATAGTGCGGCATGGATTCAGGTAAAAGTCTTATTTACTTGATAATTAGTTTTTTGTTTATTCAATAAGAGAGAGAGAGAGCAAGACTAATTTATTCTTCATAGAATAGATTGACGAATGGCTAAAGACAAAGTACAGTACTGGTAAAGTCCCACCTTTCGAGCGGACGGAAGGGGCTGCGAAAGCATTACTTCAGCTCTTACAGCTTAATAAAGCCCAGGATGAATATATAAATCAGGTTCTGAAAGAGCTTATTCAGTTTTCCAACCAATACAGGGCTAAAGGTAAGCAAAAAAAAAAAAAAAAAGTAGTTCGTCAATAAACTCATCTCCAGGATATTGATTTTTTCTTCTTCTTTTTCTCTTAAAAAAAGATACCAGGCTGAAAGAAAACCTTCAAATCTTTGATCTTGACAAAGATCGTTTGCCAACTTCCTCTCAACAAGCCCTCTCACGGCTTTCAGAACTTGCTATGCTTTTGGGAATCTCGGACACAACTCTACCAAGCTTTCAACAGGGGTTCTCCCAGCTTCATCTCGATGCACTAAAGTACTTTCATGTCCAAAAGAATAACCAATTACAGTTGAACACGATTGAGGAACATCAGCAAGAAGCCAAACAGGGATTAGATCGACTGTTAAAGTTGAAGCAGAGACTTATAAAGCAGCGCGAAACCAAGGGCGATATTGAGCAAAGGGTCTGGAGAAGAAGTACTGAACTGAGTAGGATCCAAATCAATGAGAATATACGATTATTGGAACAGATATTGAATACGCAGCGAGAGAATGGTCTGGTGGATGTAGAGACACAAGGGTTGACAATAGCTCAGTTGGAGAATCAACAAAATATGATCCATGGATTAGAGCAGCAACTAAAAGTTCAGGGGAAAACCCTAACTGCTTATCAGGACATCCCTCCGGTAATATACCAATATACAGTGGAATCTCGATAATTGTACACTTTTGTACAATTTTCGAATTTGCTATATTTCTCGGTTATTGATTGGCTAAGAAGCCCACAATTCATGAAAAACTATTCTAAAAATCCTCTGCTGATTCCTCTACTCCAGTTGAGTGTGGGTTTTTTAGAATACTTTTTTTTAAAAGAGTAAGGCTCTTAGCCAACCAATGGCCTAGAAATATATCAAATTTGAAATTTGTACAAAAGTGTACAATTATCGAGATTCCACTGTATATAGCGTGACGTTAATGATTACCAGCTTGGTCAGCTCAAAAAAGACTAATTATTTTATTATTTAAACTTGAATAGGATTACATGCTTGCACAACTAAAAATTCAAGAAAGCGTTTCACGACTGAAAGAGCTCACGATCGAACGTGATTCCATGTTGACTCAACTAGCAGACGATCTATAGAAGCAAGCTCCCATTATATTACTTTAACTGGCGCACATACATACACATACATTTATAGGAGTCCCCTTAGATACTCAAGTTGGCCAAATATGAGACGCCCTTAAATAAAAAATAAAAGTTATTTCCATACAAGTCATGTGGGCCATGTGGGTCATGTGAGCCGAAATATACATGGAAGTTCAATCTAACCTGTCTCAAAGTCCATAATCATATGGGAAAACCAGTTCTCATATGTAAAAGTCATTCAAATGAATCTCAATCCAAACCAAACTTTGGATAATGACAAAAGACACTAATATAAAGCGATCTAGGGTAGCAATTGAAGTTTCTGAAGAAATTGAGTATCCGTAGTGACATAAAAACTGACTTTGGAAACCAAGTATAGCTTGGTAGACACTTGTCTAAAAAAATGTTTCGTTAAAATTAGTAAAAAAAGTAGAGCTCTATGATAAAACCTTCAAACTTCACCATATTTTCAGGTTAAAAGGACATGTCAATGCTGAATCCAACTGTGGTATTTTTACAGCGACTTAGTTTACAAAAATAACAATCCTTGTTGTTTAAAGATGAAGGAGAGACTATAAATTCCAGATATTACTCTATTTAGAGAATTCAATGGCCATTTTCTTGACAACCGCATTGCTGGTTCCTTGGAGTGCATATATACGACTTATAGATATAGCTTTTGGCTACTTGAATCTATATTTTACAATGTGTATCGCCATTACTGACAGAGTAATATTACTTTTGAACGAAAGAAGATGATCATAATCCTGATTATTTTCGATGTACAAGTTCTTTGAATGGAGGTATCCTACTGAAGACTTAACCGAATCTTTTCAACTTTTTTTTAAATCGTACCGATGGGTCTTCCCTACCAAATATATGATTTTCAGTCTTGTAGATATTCTCCATCAACAGAGAATGGATTTTCTTTTTTCATCGTTCTGTAAAAAAAAAAAAAGAAATGAAATCCTGATTTCTGATTGGCTATTTTGATTGTGCTCTCTTTGATTGAATTGGATTGAATAGTTTTTAAATCAAATATATACATGTAAAAAAAATTTTTTTTATTGGCGCTGCCGTTTTTGGTTCCCAGATGTATTTATCGTTCTTTGTAAAGAAAAATACCGTTCAACCATATCACTTAACTCCCTTGCTGCGTCGGGACATCTCACAATGCTATCTGAATCATGGAGGCCCTTTTTGAGTATCTCCAAAGATTCAGTAACCGCATCAGCAATCCTCTCTGCCTCAGCAACCTCCTCTGCTTCAGCATCCTCTACCTCCAACAGGGCATCACTGATGCTTGGGTTAACATCCCCTTCCAGGCCATCTTGGTAATTCTGGATCATAGCATGTCTATCAGGGACCCTCTCAAGGACATCGTGTATGATGTGGAGCGGTGGGTCTGGGTTATCCTTATGAACTTGATGCAAAAGATACATATGTCTGCAGGGGCGCTGAGAATACATAAAGTACTGACAGTTACATCTTGAGATAGTTTGATTCGTGGCAACCACGAAATAATATCCGCCAGATACGGAGAACGAGCGCACACAGTAAACGGTTCGGTCACCCACTTGCTGCTCGTGAACAATGCGCTGTGGAAGGTCTTCTAGTCCATCTAGAAATTTTCTTTGGTGAATGTCATCTCTCTCGCCTTTTGAATGTCGCCCATAGCGCCGCACGGTCTGCATTGCCATCATTTGGTAAAACTCATCTACATCATGAGTTAAGATATAAATCAATCTATCTCCTCTGCAGTTTGTATAACCTCGTAAGAAGTGCGACTTAAGGTGGTTGTGCCAGGACTCGACGTAATTGTTAGTATCCATCCCAGCATAAAACTTTCCCATACGATAACATTTCATCCACCTTCTCCTTCGGTCTTCACTGAGGTAGCGTTCCCTAAAATAATTCCAGACTTTGCCCTCATTATGATCCTGCCATTTCAACTCGAATTCTGAAATAAGAGTCTCAGCTCGCGTACGGTTTGGATCAAACAAAATTCTACGGAGCTCTCCCATCGCTTCTTCCTCAACTCCTTAGCAGCCTTGTCTTGCGTTGCACGGATAACACTTCGAAGCTTGGTGCTCCAAGCTTTCATAACATGCCATAGACATAAATGAACTGTGGCTGAGTCTCCAAACGCCAATCGGATTGCTTTATATTCTGCTCGAGCATCATCAGTGGTGATGTATTCAGGTGAGCCAATGGTTCTCTGATATGTGTCAACCATCTTGCCAACGGTACATGGCTATGATCGTTCGTAAGCAAGAAGGCAACTGGGATAGCACTCAGACTTTGTGGGTTCCGCACAATTATGGTGTAAAGCTCGTGTTTAGAGCGATTTGTTCCATGTGTTGAATCTAGCCCAATGTGTTTAAAATTGGATCCATAAACTGATTTCTGGAACGGCGACATAAACCCATATGCAAATCTTGCATGATTCACTCCGTCTATTATGATGTGGTAGGCGAGTGTGAATACAGTGAAGCCCTTGTCCTTTAGTTTGTCCATCCACAGCCTCATCGAGACTAAGTCATTCTTTTCAAGCTGACTCTGCCCACTTGAATATTTATAATAAATATTGTACACATCCTCATACTTCAGGACATGGTCACGCTCTAAAGACCCTCTTTGGTGTCGCGAGAATGCCTGGCTACCAGTCAGGTTTATCCTTGTCAGAATCTTTCTTGTACAGAGACCTAAACGGACAAGGTTTCGAATTCGCGATTTTGTTTCTTCTGTCACTCTGAGATGCTGAAAGTCCTCGAGACTGGCAAGAGTATGCCCAGTGTGCTTGTAGTAATATATCACACGCAGCTGGTTCCTTTCTCCTCTACTTGCGAACTCTTCCATATCGGGTTTTACGTCATGAACAATTAGCCTGGCTTTACAGCCTACTTTCTTGGTCGGTTTATAAACATTGCGAGTTTTCTTGGCTGGCCTCTCAAGTAGTTGATCTTGGTCAGTAATCTTTTTTTTGCGTGGGGCGCCTGCACAGTGGCAGAAATAAAGTTGAAATGAACGCAGTTTGCCTTTGCTATCATTGTCGTTGGTGATTTCAGAGTCTTCATTGTCTTCATTTCTACCATTTATCTCAGAGTTGCCTTTATTCCAAATAAAAAAGTGATCGCTGCCATCTCGGTCTTTCCACAGTTCAAAGTCCCTTTTGTCCACATAGAATACGTGCGGCAAATAATCGTAGCCCTGTTTCTTAATCCTGAGGCCATCAACAATATCCTTAATCTTAGCCTCTGGGACCGTCGACTCAATCCAAGAGTATTCTTGTAGCTGCGCAGACACAATTGTAGAAGCCAGACTGATTGCACGAGCCTCCTTATCTTGACTCAATCTCGATATATCCTCTACTTCTTCTACGTTATTTTCAGATGGCGCGAGAGCATTCCCAGAGGTGCTGTCTTCACCGGATGGTTCAACTGGCCCCCACACTATTTCTGGCTCGGAATCTGACACATCCGAAGAATAGTCTCCACCATCATCACAGTCGTGCTCTTCAGGATCCGTATCAACGTCGCTAGCTTCATCATGGTTGTAGAATTCGGAGCCTAGCTCAAGGTCTTCAGCTGCATCCTCACCGTTACTCGAAATTAAGGTATCAGTGGTGAGGACCTATAATTTGCATCAAGAAAAATAATTAATTATAAGCTAATCGAAATAGCTAGCATGTTCGTGATATTTATAAATACCATTGTGGACGGCTAATATTATCTATCTCAGAGAGAAGGAAGACAGAGAGTTAGAAATGAAGTAGGCTAATTTGAATTTACGCGTTTTTTTTTTTTCTTTTTTTTAAAAAAAATAAAAAGGTTACCTGGGACAGGAGATGGACTATAGAAACACGAGAAGGGCCTGAATGGAGTCTGCAGGAGAGCGATCCTGACATAAATAAAATAGTAATGAGCGATGGAACAGGATTAGATGGCGATTATGATTCGGAAGAAGCAACTGGCAGAAAAGGGTGGATTTAGCAAATAGCCTACTACGTCACCTCATTATAAATTTTAACAAAAAAATACCACTACGCAACTTGAGTATTTAAGGGAATTCGCTGGAACTCTGGGCCCTAAGGCCTCTGGCGATGGAATGTATTTTTTAAAACGGCCCACATGGAACACATCATGGATCTTCATCGTATTTGGAAGCTCTAATCGGAATGATACAGGCGAGATTTGTTCGACAATGGTACAGTGGCTTCCAAAATTGTCCACATGTTTTACGCCCATGTTTTCCATCTTGATTAGAATAATAGCGATGGTTGCTTGCACTTTTATTTATATCAGAATAAACAAGTATGCCAATGTTAAGTGTACTGGTCCAGTTAAAATATCTCTAGTCTCATTCATCATGGTTTTTAATTGACAAAAGTATTTAATGTCATTTGGACAATTATATAACCATCACTTATTTTACGCACCTTTGCTGAATTTTTTTCAAATTATCTCCCACACACTTGAGTAGATACTCTTCACTTACACTTTTCTGAGAGCCTACGTTACTCTTCCTAAACACTCCAAAGATGAAGCCAATCAAAGCTTCCGTTGTTGAGGATGCTCTCCATTTACTCGAGCAGCACAAGTCCATCCGTCAGGTTCCCACAGAAATAGGCATATCCAAATCCTCAGTCCATAATATCTCCAAGACATTACGGCCTGCCATGGGTAGAAGTAGAGCTGGTCGGCCACGGAAGTTCGATTACCGGAATGCATATTATATTCGATTGTTGCTTCACCGTTGCAAGCGAAATCACTATAATAATTTTGTGCAACATAGTATTTCGCCCATATTTCTAGAGCATTCCTTGCAACAGGATATTAGTATAAATAGGTCTACTTTTCTATCTAGTTCTGTAGCATAGTTCCCCCTGAATAAAGATACCTTTATTGCACCCTTAGATCCCCCTAGAACACTACCTTGACTTTTGCATTGGTAGCAAAGGAAACCACGACCACACCCAGAGAACTACAATTACCATTGAATTTCACCCCTCGCCATGGAACACTTGAATAACGCCCTTTCGTCCATCGATCTTCCTCTGAACATTCGCGAAGCCATAGCTACTGCTTTTAATCAGGCCCTCTCTACTGCTAAAGCCAACG